TGGCCGCTGAAGTTTTGGAATTGGGGCAACGCTGCTCGCGACAATAAAAAGACCCGTATTATTCCACGTCATCTGCAATTGGCCATCAGAAACGACGAAGAATTGAACAAATTGCTTTCAGGCGTCACAATTGCCCAAGGAGGAGTTCTCCCTAATATCCAAGCTGTTCTTTTGCCGAAAAAGACGGAGAAGAAAGCCTAAAAAAAAAATCTTCTGAACATACAATCGGCCCTTCTCAGGGCCAACAAGTAATTTAATAAGAAAATGAAGGGATTATCATTTGTATATGGAAAAATTTTCTCAGGGTGATATCGGATCGGTTGTGGCGCGAGAAGTTGGCAATAACTAAATTATTTAATCGAGGCATCTCATCGTCGCATTCACGTCTAATATTCGCCGGTATCTCGATAATGGGACATATCGGGACCGAAATCGTCGATTATTGTAATTCAAAGAGCCAAAACGTATAAGTCGATCAATTTCTCATATTCCGATAAACTCATTTATGTGAGTGTTTCTTTTTATTTTGTATAAAAAAAAATAGAAAATTAATGTGGCGGTTCAATCGGCAGATCCATTCTTTCTCACGAGAGTATATGGTGGTTCTGAAAAGAACCGTTTTTTTTTTCTTTTATTGTATTTTCGTTCAACCTGTACCGTGGTAATTGCTGCGGAGTGTTTAACCACCGAATCCGTACAAAGTGCGTCCTTGTCTCTTTAATGCATATACGACGTCCATTGCAGTGACTGTCTTCCTTTTAGCGTGCTCGGTGTAAGTGACTGCATCCCTGATTACGTTCTCTAAAAAGACTTTGAGCACTCCTCGAGTTTCTTCGTAAATCAATCCGGATATACGTTTTACTCCTCCACGTCGCGCCAATCTTCTTATGGCCGGTTTCGTAATTCCCTGGATGTTATCCCTCAAAACTTTACGATGCCTTTTCGCTCCTCCTTTTCCCAATCCTTTACCACCTTTACCGCGTCCAGTCATTTTTCAAGATTCTCTCGCACGTCGAACTGTTAAAGCGAACGGGCTGTTGCCAACTGACGGTACGTCTCTCGTGACGCCCGTTTTTGTTAGCGTTGTCGTCCCTCCTATTGGTCTATCAATTGGCCAATCAGACTGTTTCGTATTTCGAGCCCATATAAATATAACTGTTCGCGTGTTTACCCTCCGCTCACTATAATATTGTCCGTTGCAATATTCACGTCGCTGCTATATAGATAATTTATATTCAGTTATCTGAAATTTAACGTAATGGCGCGTACCAAGCAGACGGCTCGTAAATCCACCGGAGGTAAAGCTCCCAGGAAGCAATTAGCCACGAAGGGCTGCCCGTAAAAGTGCTCCTGCTACTGGCGGAGTTAAGAAACCTCACCGTTATCGTCCGGGAACTGTGGCTCTCAGAGAAATATTCGTCGTTATCAGAAAGTACCGAATTGTTGATCAGAAAATTGCCTTTCCAACGGCTGGTCCGTGAAATAGCGCAAGATTTCAAGACCGATTTGCGATTCCAAAGTTCTGCTGTAATGGCACTCCAAGAAGCTAGCGAAGCGTACCTGGTCGGACTATTCGAGGATACGAACTTGTGCGCGATCCACGCTAAGCGAGTAACGATCATGCCGAAAGATATACAGCTGGCAAGACGTATTAGGGGCGAACGTGCCTAATGAATTGACGGATTTACTATTTGCCGGAAAGAGAGAGAGAGAGAGAGAGAGTACGGTCTTGTGCGATAATAGGTTATAAAAAAAAAAACGGTTCTTTTCAGAACCATCATATATATGTTCAGAAAAAGGGGGATCGTGTATTATGTTAAGTAATATCAGATTGTTGTTTGTACGCGTGCAATTTCGACACTATTATCTGTATGCAAAATAGCGCTAAATGGTTATACGATAGTCGCTAGTTATTACCCGTTATCCTATATCGAAGGATTGTGGTGCTTTGTAGTAAACCGTTACATTGATATTATTCTAATAACGTACGAATTGTATGTATGTGTATGGAAGTAAAATAACTTATAAGTAGCATGTGATTATAATGTAGATAATTCGACATAATATAGATATTTTGCCGTATATATTGCTTAGGCGTTTTAGGCAGGCTGTTAGCGTGTAATACGTAACATTAGGTACTTTCACGTAGATCAAAAGTCAGTAATGCGTACGTCTAATAATTATATGTAGTAAGAGATGAATTTATAACTCGATCGCTCGTATATTATATATAATATTTTTTCTACTCTGGCTTATTTATTACGAAATAATAGATTGATGTCTCATATTATTATCTATTTTGTCATATTACAGGAGTAATGTTAAAATTATCGCGATATATTTCGCGACTGTGCACGTTCGGATGTACGCCAGACATACCTCCGTATAATTGCGATTATCTAAAATACCTTATCCATTAGCCGTATACCGACAGTATAATTGTATTACGAATAGTCGTAGATTGTTAATTTCATGAAATATCTAATTATATAACGTATTCGTATAATATAAATTAGATCAAAAAGCCGGACGATTAGGTCCAAAGCGGATACCTTGCACGTTTCACCTTATAATTTTATCGTGTACGTAGCGTACGTGATCAAGTCGCGAAGTTAAATGTGTATTTCAAATTATGCAGATTTCATATTCGTTCAGGTTTTAGCTGTTGCTCGTATGCAATTATATCAGCGACTCAAAAAACCAACAGATACGACCGCAGGCTTGGCAGAATTGAAGCCGTCGAAATCGGTTTCGCTGCAAAGTCGGAGCGTTCAATGTTCGGTCCGACCGAAATGACTTGGGTCACGACGCTGAATTTACCTCTCACATTCATTCGACATTCGTTCTCTTAGCGAGATCGTCGATCAGTGATTGCAAAAGATCGCGCGTATACAATAATCTGTCTCCTCTTCACGACTCGTAAACATGGCAGATACGGAAAACCAGAATTACGCCGCGTCGGCTACGGCTACCGCGAATTCTGCGTCGCCGACGTCGCAGTCGTCTGCGAAAAAGGAGAAAAAACCGAAGAATCCGAGGGCGAAGCCGTCTCATCCTCCTACTAGCGAAATGGTCATCAACGCAATTAAAGGATTAAAAGAGCGTGGCGGGTCGTCTCTGCAAGCTATCAAGAAATACATAGCCGCTAATTACAAAGTAGACGCTGAGAAAGTTGCGCCTTTCATCAAGAGGTACTTAAAATCGTCCGTCGCGTCTGGAGCTTTAGTACAGACGAAAGGCAAAGGAGCTTCCGGATCGTTCAAGCTAGCTTCGTCATCGGCTGGCGGAGCGTCGAAAACTTCATCATCGTCAGCCGCAAAGGTTGGCGAAAGAAGAAGAAATCCGCGACCGGCTCAAAGAAGAGCGGAACCGTAGCTAAGAGAGCTAGCGGTGCGAAATCTGCGAAGAAGGCATCTCCGAAGGCTAAGAAACCGGCGGTGGCCGGTGGTGCGGCCGAGAAGAAAGCTTCTCCAGCTAAGACAAAGAAAAGTGGGAAATCGGCGACGTCGGCTAAAGCTTCTTCTGCTGCACCTTCTGCAGCGGCTGCAAAAAAATCTCCTTCGAAGGCGAAGAAATCCAGCAAGGGAGCTCCGACCAAGAAGCCAAAAGCACCAAAACCGAAAACGGCGAAGGCTGCAACATCGCCAAAAAGGAAGGCCGCTTCACCCAAAAAGAAGAAATAAAAAAAAAAATTTAGACGTGTTGCAACGTCGTAGATTACGGCTACGTCGGTTCGAGACGTTATATTTATGCGAGAGGATGCTATACGTCCCCGCGGATTGAAAATGGCCCTTTTCAGGGCCACCACTATTACTATAAAAAGGATACAGAATATTTACGAATTAGCAATTTTGTATCGAAATATACATGTACAACTGCGGCTCGTACGTGCGTTGATGTTTTTTTTTTTTTTTTTTTTATTAATTCGAGTATTATTCGTTTACGATTAGGTATTTATAAGCAAGTGGTAATGTTAGGCGTCGTCACCATCGATATTTGCTTTTAAGGGTATAAATAAGTATGTATTGTGTTTAATTAAACGAATGAACGTTAAACAGTCGATTGCGTCGTAAGGATATCCCCTTTTTTTACGCTTTCGTTTACCATTAAATAATCCGGTCGGGTCTTATATCAGACGTTATTGCTTTAGTGGTGTATGTATATCACGAATAATCATCTGGTATTCAAGTACCAATAATATATATGTTGCGCGTACGGTGATATCATTATCTTTACTTGATAACTTTAGTGGTTCTGAAAAGAACCGTTTTTATGTTGTAAGTTGTTGTTGATGTTGTTGTTGTCGTCGTAGTTACATATTACTTCGAACTGGTGTACTTGGTTACGGCTTTGGTACCTTCGCTGACGGCGTGCTTGGCCAATTCTCCTGGTAGCAATAGTCGAACGGCTGTTTGAATTTCTCTGCTAGTTATCGTGGCACGTTTGTTGTAATGTGCCAATCGGGATGCTTCCGCTGCGATACGTTCGAAAATATCGTTGACGAAGCTGTTCATGATGCTCATCGCTTTGCTGGAAATACCGGTATCTGGATGTACCTGCTTCAGCACTTTGTAGATGTAAATTGCGTAGCTTTCCTTCCTCCTGCGTTTCTTTTTCTTATCAGACTTGGAAATATTTTTTTGAGCCTTACCGGCCTTTTTAGCTGCTTTACCGCTAGTTTTGGGTGGCATCGCGTTTCGATTTACACAAAAAGTACGATCTTTACTGACACAATATCGTGATCTATAATGGAAAGGTGTGCGGATAAACGGCGAGCTTTAACAGCCACGACGTTACCGACATAGACTCCGCCCCTTACGGGTGACCGACAAACGAAAACGGTGATTGGTCGGAGTAGTTATATAAATATACTCGTACCTAAAGACATTGCCATCCCCAGTTCCGAGCTAGCAGCCGTCACGAGCATACACTTGTGCGACTGCGACCCACCCGGACATATTGAGCAATCTTATTGCAATTTTCATTGCGATAGATTGTTTGTTTGCCATCTACGATGGCAAAAATTGAGAAGCTGGCTAACCAGCTGAAAGAAAAGAAGGATGCGTTCGCCATGCTGGAAGAGCAGATGCGAAACCTGCAAGAAGCATTCTTGCAGGCCAGACAGGAAATTGAAGACCTGAGCGGGAAGCTCCGCAGGGCCAAGAAGAAGGCCGCAAAGAAGACAGGAGAAGAGGAGGAAGAGGACCACCAGGCGACATCGGACGAGATGGACGCCCAAGAAGAGGGCACTCAACAGACCGAAGGACCGAAGGAAGAAGAAGCCGAGAAGAGGACGGACGACACCGACTTCAGTGTCGCCACCAGACGGAGGAAGCGGGTGCGAGTTTCCTCCGAAGAAGAAGAAGAAGAACCCAGGCAGCGAAAGATGCCAGCTGCCACAAAGAAGAGTGGTCCTAGAGCAACCAGGACCACCGAGGCCCCCATGGCAGGAACAGGAGTTCCGCCAATCAACATCGAGGGCACCGCTGATTGGTCATCCTTGAGTAGGATGATGAACAGCAAGGGGATTCAATTCTCCAAAGCGAGGACGGCGGGTACCAGTGTGAAGGTATTCACAAATACACCAGCTGACTACCGTCAGCTAGTCGCACTGCTTGAATCCATCAAGCGGCCCTTCTTCACATATCAACTGAAGGAGGACAGGATGGACCAGAGGGTCATTCGTGGGCTTCCGAGAGAGATGTCAGTCAATGACATCAAAGAGGATCTGGAGAGCCAAGGCATCGCAGACGCCGTGGTTCAGCAGCTGACCTCAAGGACCACAAAGAAGCCACTTCCGCTCTTCCTCGTCAAGACGAAGATGCCGGAAAAGCTTGCAGAGATCCAGAGGCTGGCCATGCTCACGGTCAGCTTCGAGAGGAAGAAAAAGTCTTCCGAGCCCAGCCAGTGCTACCGCTGCCAGCGGTACGGGCACACACAGCGGAACTGCCGTCTCGCTGAACGGTGCGTTAAGTGTGGAGAGGACCACAACAGCACCAGCTGCAGTCTGCCAGCGCCGCCAACAGGGCAACGAAACGCCAAGTGTTGCCTCTGTGGAGAAGGCCACCCCGCCAACTACAAGGGATGTAGTAAGGCGCCGAAGAAAGCTGCTTCTGCCCCCAAAGCAGTCCCCACCACAAATAGGACTTCTTACGCCCAAAAAGTGAAGAAGCCTATGTCCACTTCTGCCCCAGCAGCCGCCACTGCTACTGGAACTACTGCGCAGAAGCAACACGGCGATGACAGACTGCTAGCAATGATGCAAGCCATCATAACCCGCCTGGATGCACTCGAGGCCAAGATGCAAGACAAGCACTAGACCCGAAATGTCTACAGGTCAAA